TAGCTCGTATAGTTTTAATCTACTGAAATTCTGTGTGTGTGTGTGTGTGTCTATATATATATATATATATATATATATATATAGAGAGAGAGAGAGAGAGAGAGAGAGAGGAGGCATTATAACACTCTTCCTCCATTAATGTGGTATCTTTTTACTCTTTTTAAGATCTTATTGAATAATTTTGTCTAAACAAATACCCAGCTGACTTATACACTGCTATGCTTCAATATGAATTTCACCCAACCTTCTTGTGTTTCTTACCAACATTCTCTTTATAGGTCCCTCTGCAATATACTATAGATATTCCTCTGCTAAGATATATCATAAATATTCTTCTACCCATCCTTGGTCTGAGAGGAGTTATGCAACTTTATATTTGCAAATTCTGTTTTTCAAAAGCCTCCACATTCATAAATTTTGTCAATGTTTTTGGTGTTATATATTATTCTTAACTACCATCTGAACCACCACCAACCTATAGCGTGTAGTTAGCCTCATACTATGAACTATACATCTTCTGAGTAAAGACAAAATCTATTTGACTAAATTGTCCACTATCGAATGCTATTATTTGGGAATTTCTTTCTCAAGCATCTACTTGCTAGCCCCAAGCCATAAACCAGCTAAAATCCAAAATAGCATTACCTTGTTCATTCTACCTCATGTTCTTTTCATATCTTGAGTTACCTTTTTCCCACGTGAATGCTCAAAGCTCTCCCAACAAATATTTTATCTTGGCAAAGGATTTCCGAATAAATATCGTATCTTGACTTGGAATTGTACAAATCAACTCATCCATGTCTTCCCATAATCATTGCTTTCTTTGCCTAATCTAATCCAACTTGTAAGTATAGACGCAACATAAAGAAATTGCAAAAACAGAAAAAAGTTTAGAGAGAAAAGAAGTTACAACTCGGACCTCTAAATAACAATGACGGAGTTCCATTATTTCAAAATCCTCTTATATTGTTCTCTATATGGCATAATCAAGTCTCATCCCCGACCTTCTCTTTCCCTCTCGCACCATTGTAACTTTATTAACTACTTTAGAACATGTCTCGCATATTATGCCTAGTGACAATCTACCATAGTTCCACTCCATGATGAACTATGTCCTCCATTCGTATTTCATTGAAAAAATTACTACATTAGCATCAGCTTGCATCAGTTGGCTGAAAAGATCGTTTTCTTCTTGTCCTTTGGGTTCCCCACGAACATCCAACAAATTACTCTGCAGTGAAGTACACCAGTGATCCGACAACTACCACTACATGGTAACTCAATCAACTCACAGGCTCTCATGACTTTGTGGTCTATAGTGATATGTTAGACATACCAAATAAAGTAGGGCAAAATAGCAGTGATAGACCCAGGGGTATTTCTTTATATTGTTATTTTCTTTTCTTCACGTGTGTTTCGAGGCTGAAAATATATTTCACAAAAGACTTCAATGAAACTACTTTGGTGAGTCAAATTTTAGCATAATGGTAGCACTCCCAATGCCAAACGCTGTACAGGTATACACACTGCAAAATAGCACAGCACTGTAGCCACAATTATGTCAAGTTACAGGCAAGTAGGCCAAATTATAAAAATAAGTAGCACTATTAAAGAGAATTGCATGCAGATCAAGTTGCAGCCTCACAAAAGAAGTATGCTTGCATAAGATAACAGAATTATCATGCATTATCTTACACTTAATCTTATGTTAGCATCCATGAGAAAGTCCAAAACAGCTGCTGTAGTTTTCTTGCTATTTGGTGAAAGTTGACATTTCCATCGCCATTCCAGTTTCGTGCCTACCTTCTCAAAGGTCCATGTTAACTGCGAATATTAAACTCAAAGGAACAAGTGAAGAGGAAAAACTGAAGCTTTTCTCATGGTAAAAAATCATTTATACACTTCATGATATAAGTGTAAAAAATCAGACAACTTTGAACATTCAAGCAATTACCAGCCAGCAGAGGATAATTTTCTGACAATACACCAAAAGTTTGGTTTAGTACGTTTTCCCAAATGACAATGCCACAAGCCATTATCCCCGTTCCAGGTTTGACAAAGTCACTTTTAACAAGTCTCATATAGCTTTCCAATTAACAAGAAAAACACAACTGCCCGAGATATTTCATTTGTTAATGTAAAAATCCACTAACAATTATATTTGCACTGCCATACTTTTTATCCGACAGAAATTCACGAATATACAAGCTTTACACATTCGCTCTGTGTGAAATTGCACCTGGTTTGATGTTTAGAATTTTCTAAGAGAATAACTCCCTGGACACATAATAAACAAAATGACAGTGACATTCCTTCATCATACAAGAAAGAAAACCATCAAATTTTCCTGAATTTTAATAATAAAATAGATTATTTTTTCACAAGCAACTTCAGCAGACTAATGTGAAAAACCAGAAAGAATAATTTAAACTATGATACTAGCACAAACTCAATATCAGAAGAAACAAAAACAAATAGTCAATTAAACTGATAATTCGAGAAAATAAAAGAGTTTGGTAGCAAATCTTTAATTATGACCCTCTTGTGCAGATGTAATCTTTACAGTGTCAAAAATCCTATAATTGAACCTGGGCCATTTAAACTTAAGAATATAAATCAGAAGACCTCCATTTCAGATCATTTCAAATGTGAAAAACCCAACTACTCCTCTCAAGCAAAAAAATTGTCATTTATGTCTTGACTTGCCGTGTGAAATCACGAATTACATTGACCGTTTACACATCTCTAGCATCTAAAAGTGACGTCCAAGATGAAGCGGCTATAGCAAAGATAAAGTATGAATTATGGTCTCTGACTCTATAAATGTTTGTTTGTTTGTTAGCAATGGTATTTGTGTCCATGTTCACTAAGGGCTCAAAATGTTCATTACTGTTGTTTGGTTGATGCATTAACGAGCCAGTTACAGACATCCACATAAATGAGAGTAAAAAAAGTAGCTTATATTTTACAAAAAATAACTTGCTTCGTTCACAATTTGATTGACGGAATTTCTTTGTTTGATGTTGACAATTGATGACCTCTTTCTTTTTCCTTATTGGTGTGACAGGAAAGGATTCTTGGTTACTGGTCTGTGCAGTGTATACACATTTCTCAGCTTGAACCTAACACGTCTTAACAATTAAAAGCAAGACAATTCAATCAAGACAGAGAGAGTATTTCTTAGTAATTTGGAAGATTTAAGAGTATATAATAATAAAATAATAACTGATGCACAATGGATTTACTAATTCAGTATCTATGTTCAAGAGTCAGAATAACAAATTTGTGGACATAAATATTAATTAATTGCTTATTTGCTTATCCTCACAAACAAATAAAAATGAAAAAGGTAAAAACATAAGGTTCTCCTTCAGTAATTTTCATTATTTTAATAAAAAAAAAAATGAGGATACTGTGAGCTAAAAGTAAAAAGTCAAGAGATAAGCAGCGTTCTGAAGAAAATAAGCCATTCTAAATTATTACCGTAGACAAATTTGCAATTTTTTGAACCACTTTCAAACATCCAAACCCGAAACTGGAGAATATATATCAACTAGTTCAATTTTTAGATAGTTAAAGTGGATATACTAAAGAAAGCATTTCAAGTCGCAATTTAAACAACATCAACTTCCAAACTTAAACTTCAATTGCACTGACCCTTCTGAACCCGTTTCCAGCATCCGAAAATCCGTAAACCGAATCCGGCTGTTCAAACCCGAGGTATTTTTCAGCTAAGTCAATGTATTCACTCACCGGTTGATCCCATTGCGATGCTCTCTCCTTGACCTCCTCCTCCGTCGCTATAAAAAGAATAAAACTTACAAATATAAACATAAATAAATTTGAAAAATTGTGGAAAATTTAAGGGATTCAATACCGTGGCAAGTCCAGGCTTGCAGACCGTTAGTGATGGAGAGGTCGAAACGGGTCAGGTACCAAGTGCCTTTTACGAAAATGAGTTCGGATTCGGTTTCGTTGTCGGGCTCTGATATTACCAGTTTCACGCACGTGTGCCTCGGTGACTCCATTGTCAGAGTTTCTGAGCTTCCCTCGTTGCTCTTCAAGCATTATATAAAGTTTTCAAAAATAATTCCACACAGAATGAAAATTAATGAGAAGATTCCAGTGTACGCTTGGAACTGGTCAGTTAGAATGACCGGTGCGGTGACGTAAATTATTTTAAATTTTGATTTGTCTAATGATAACTAACGGGATGAAGCCTCAAAATCGACTACTTAACAAATTATTTTCACCTAATTAGGGTAAATTCAATGAAATCTATTGAAAATAAGAGTTATAAAGCCAATTGACTATTTAAAAATAGTGTGGGTTATGCATCAAATCGTATCCGACACCTCATCCTTTTAAACATATGATTGATCGTCTTGGTCGAATATATTCACAAACTTTCTACTTCGAGGGCTTATGTTTGATCATGCCATACGGATGTTTTAACACTTTTGGAGTGACCATGATCGAGTACGAGCATGGTCGGGAATGTTTCGTGTATTGAGGCTTATACTCTTCCGACAATTTACTTGAGCTTCGCGTCATCCCTTGTACTTAACCTAAGATGACCTTTTTTTACAAATGTCCCAACTTCATCGGATCACCTCACTCACTCACACACTCATTTTTTCTTTAGTGACACATAAGAATCGTTAATTAGTAATTTTCTAATTGAATTTGTTATATTTTCACGTTAAATTTACCATCCCACACATTCTTTGTTCATTGGTTGTGATGTCACATTAAAAAGATTTAGCATTTTTATTCATGTTTGCTTCAATAACGATTTTGCTGATGTGGGATAGTATGTGAAAACAAATAGGTATATTTTTGCTTATTAGTAATTTGTATTTTCACACATCGTGCGTTCGTCATTCATACTCAAGATCAAACTTATGTCTTTGTATTACAGATGTTCACTAATAGTGGCTTAAGTTCGTACATGACATGATTTGATAATTTCTAACTTAAAAATGCTTGCCAACAATGGTATAGGTTCGCAGAAACAATCCCAAGATGAGAATACTACAATAACAGTCAAAACACTACATTGAAATTAATTGATAACAATGATAAATTTCAGTTATGTCATAAAATTATCTTCTTATCATGAGTACGAAAAATTTATTGGTATAATTTGACAGTCAAATTATATCCTTAACTATACTCTTATTCTAAAGGTATAGTGTTGGATCGATAATTTTTATTGATGCTGAAACGATGAGTAAATTATTGATCAATGAAACCTCACGAGTACAATATATCGGACAAATTCATTTGTATTGAAAATGTTACACCCTCTCACATGCGTGCATGGCCCGCATAAATAAAAAATTCACAAATGTGTGGTCCACACACCCTATTATGAGTGTAGGTAAAAGATTATGTAAAAATGTGGATGTATACGTAGCATTGTCCCATTATATCGTAGATAGGTAATATAATGAATATTAGAATATCGCCCCACGGAGACCGTACTTAATTTAGTTCTAATCAATGATAACTCTAATCGAATAGCCAAATTGTGTTTGGGAATTATCACAATTATCTAACTAATTTAAATGATGATCAATTAAGAAGCTTTCGTAAACTTGGTTCGACATGCACTAAAACTTTGAATCCCCTTATCAATCCATTTTAACACAACCTAATACCGTGAAACTATTTATTCATTCTTATTGATCAATGTTTTTAATTTCTTTAATAATCTCTCTTGAGTAAAATCAAACATATCATCCCATGTGACATTCTAATATATTTATGAAAGATATGAACATAAAAACATGAATTAAAATGCTAAGACACCTACTGAAATCATGCAAGATATAACGATATATCATTATCCTCTATCGGACATCACAACAATTGTTATAAACATGCTATCTTTCTTAATATTTCTCCCAATAACAATAAAAATCACACATCCATTTTATTATTGTTCAAGTAATTGAGAATCATTAAAACCTATAACAATCATTCAAGAATAAACACATACTAGCTTCAAAGTATTGAAAATTATATTAAAACTTCATTACAAGTGTTCATCTATATCTTAACGACTGAAAATCTAGACTAGCATTACAAAGTTACAAAAATGCATAATTGGATTGTTTTATTACCCAAATTTTTGATATATGAAGAAAAAGTGAAGAAGCCACGAGTTTTTGAATCTCTTCAAGCCTCCTCGATAAATCTCCAATTGCACCTTCTTCATCCTTGCCCAAAAACCAAGAAATAATCTTTAATGGATCGAGTTCTTATATCTTGTCTCTTGAATTCTTCAAAAGAACGATTATTTGGCCTCCCTTAATTGCAATATTTAATGTATTATTATAAGATATAAGAGGTATCTTGCAATATTAGGTCAAAATTCGAGTTCAAGATAGTTGCCATTAGAAGTTTCAATCAATGAAGGAAACTGTTTTGTAAGCCCAGAAATAAACCAAATGATCACAACCTATAGTGGGCTGCAATCGCAACATGCTACTCAAGTGAAATTTGTTGGCCAAAATTTAGGGGCTTTGATCGCAACTCTATAAGTGGCGCGTCGCACTCTTGTAACTTTAAAATTGTTCACTTTGCTCCTTAGTTCCTGTGTTCAGATAGTGTCATTTCTTCGAGTAGTTGTTATCCTTTGTCTTCTATTTTTATCTAATTGATTTCATATGAGCTTCAATCTTCATTCCTTGATCCGAATCAACTTTTTTTATATTGGTAATTTAGTTCCTAAACTTCAAAATTCTTCTTTCCCCCCTTTTCCTGATTGTCACTTATTTTCATCAAAATCCCTCCAAATCTAAATATATTCTACAATAATCGATATTTAACCAAATTAAGTAGCAATTCAATCAATTTAACTTGGAAATATTTGCTTTTGATGGCTCGAATAAGTATAGAAATTATACCTATCAAACACTCTCAAACTTGAACAATTGTTCGTCCCGAACAAATCTAGCTACTTAACGCACAAAAATAATAATAAATAATATAGTTAGATAGCTTGCAATTTTATCTCAGGTTTTTGAAAACTAGAACAATTCATTAACGACCTCCAAGTTATGTTACCAAGATTAATTCATCCACTTGTTCAATAGTGAATCGATGTGTGTGCGCGCATGATTTATTTAAACACAATAACATGAAAGTTGTTTATTTTCCAGGTCAAATATTTTATTTCTTCTCTTGTAAAATGTACACCACATACTTGTTCTTTATTTTCTCTCGTGAGGTGTAAATTCTAATGGTTGAATTTTCTTTACTCATTCCTTTCCCGATCAAGTTCGATTAGATTTTACCAATGATAGTTACTATTTCAATTTGTGATTATTCTCCCTAGAATTAAGTTTCTCAACCTCCAATCTTCATCTAAATAATTACCCTCACAAGAAGTCTAAATCCACAAGTAAATATCCCAGGCTAAACATGGCAGAAGCATTGCTTATAATTATATTGTATTACTTTACACACTTTGGTGTATTTTTATTTTCATTGAGTCCAATCTTCTACTTTTGGGATCTTCTCATTAGTTTACGAAGGTACATTGTAGGCAACCTTCTTTTTTGGTAGATTGTCTCCTCAATATTGGTCATAAACAATGCTAGATTACTCAAAACTAACTTCATACAACAATGTAGGCAACTTCTTCTCACATGCATCGGTTAGTGCAATGCCTTTTATTTTTTTTGGGATAAATAATTGAAATCAAAACTCCTTGTGGGTGAGTATTATCTAGGTTCATTTGTTAGCAAAAAGTACTCCACGCAATATATTCATGCACGGAATCAATACATCTCTTGGTAGCTTCTAACATTGGTACAATCACCCCCAAACTAACCTATGAAATGGTTTTGGAATTGAGTTTAATGATTTAGGGTTCGAATAACTTTTATTCAAGCTTTTTCAACCTATTCTAGTCAAGAAACTACTTCAAAAGTATAAGGTGATTAGACATGAATATTATGCACAAACGGTATCAAATTAAACAAGAAAAAGCTTCAAAACAATCCTAGATTTATAACTATTAGTAATTCATAAATAATAAGTAATTGCAATAATATCAACAATAGCCGACGAGACTATTCAACTCACTCAAGCACACAATAAAACAATTAAATGTTTTTGAAAATTTTTGAATTTTTTTTTTATTTTTAATATATATAATGCGGTAACATGCAAAACAACATAATATGGATCATTAAAGATATCAATAATAAAATCAACACCCCCCAAACTTGAACATTACGTTGCCCTTAATAGATACAATCATGAAGCAAAAGTCAAAAAACAAAAGAGGATGTAAAGACTCGTTGGATGTGTGTTGGATGGTAGAGGCAAAATTTGAATAACTACATTCAATTCTTCATTCTTCATTGAATTTAGTAAGAGTTTGAATGTCATTGTACCTTTAATTTAGATGAAAAACATGAATAGAGTATACAAAAGATATAAAACCATTCATATCATGAAGCATCGGTTAACATCAAGCTGATCATGATTTGCATGAATGGAGGGAGAAGTCCTAAAGATTTTCACGCTAGACATGATGACCATTTTTATGCTTTACTTTTAATTCAAATGTGCCTATTATCTTAATGCACACCTAAATAATTAGATGATCTCTTCTATTGTTTCCATTCAAACTAGTCCTAAATCTGCCAAGAACTTTTGGAGTAGCTCTAAACCACGAACACGTGGACCATTAAATCAAATCAATGGAGATAATCTACACACTCTATATTCTGATTTGTATGCAGACTTTAAGCAGGTAAACAGGACTTCAGCTCTAGAGGCTTTAGTGGTGATGAAGGACGGAAGAAATCTTGTTGAGTCCAAGAACATCACCGTACAAAAATTACCAAAGAAAAAGATGGCTAAATTGAAAAACGTCGTTTTAGAACTCAACCAATCAAAAGACATCGTAGAGTAACTTACAATTGGAGCAGCCAGACAATTGACAAATTCTCTCTGAAGGGAAAAATGGCACAATGATGCAAGTGACCCAATGGGTTGAAATGTTGGA